AAAAACACTTTCTTCGAAATGGTGCCATCGAAACCTCTTATACAACACTTTCTCATGACACAGGCTCTGTGCAGGTAGACTTCCATCGACGATGTTAACAACTAAGACGAAATCGCTCAAGCACAATTTAAAAGTTGTTTTGAATGTGATTTTGAAGTTTTAGTTCTCAATAATAACGCGGTAATGTCATCGGTTAATTTTTAAACAAGATTAATACAATGAATCCAAAGGCTGCAAGTTGCGCAACACAAGGTAAGGCTATAAAGTCCTCCCACAACATTGCAAAGAGCAAGTTAAATATTCAGACCCAGTGTGTCATCTTCAGTAAGGGAACTTTCATGAGCTGCATACAAGATGGTGAGATGGTGAAAGCCTGAGGCCACAGACAGAGAGGCACAATGTTTCAAAACACATGACTGGCCTGAAAAAAAAAAAAGAATCCATCTCGCCGTTAAACCAGCAGTCGATGTGAACAGATCAAATAACAAAGGGCTGCTTTTGTTGTAGCCATAAAAAACCAACTGATTTAGTTTCAAATGAATCCTTTGATCTTGTGGCTGTTTGATCCATTTCACAAACTGCACTATAATGATTCTTAAGAAGTATTTAACTTGAGTCAGTCCTCCTTATCAAATCACTCCTTACTACTAATAACAGTCCCTCTAATCACATTTATTTAAATAACGGCGTAATGGAGGCGCAATTGAACCAGATGTAGCACCAAAATGTGAGTTGCCCCGGAAAAAAAAACTGCAGAGCAAGCCTGATGATGTGGGCAAGAAAAAAGGTCTTTAAAATGTAAAATAACCATCCAGAGAAGCAAGCTGGCAGTTAATACCCATTTAGCACAGTGTGAGTCAGCCTTTTCTTCATTTTATTACTTTAACTTAGTTTTAAATATTCCCCTTGTTCTGAAATGGCCCTATAATGTACAAGTCGAGTCAAACTGACTGCAACCCATTTGCACACCACTTGGTCACGGCACCCCATTACTTTTAAAACAGATAGTCCGGTTCATTTCAAGTACATTCATATTTATATTCTTGACTGGCGTCACCTATTGCAAAGAGAGAAAAGGGAGGAATTCTAATGCCAACTGAGTACGGGATGGAGCAGAGAGGGGGTGTAACTCTACCGAGACAGTTGGTGCATCAGGGTTTTACATGATTTGCTGCTGTCAGAAAATTTTGCTTTAAAGTTTCCTCTTTGACAAACGACCAACCCCGCTGTCACACTGGCTAGCTGGTCTTGATTGATGAGTAGTGACAGCAGAAGGAAGAGATTTCCAAGTGACTTTTGCTTTGGCCCCCGACACACCAAACCAACCGTAAAGAACTCGCATCAACAAGGACGGACAGATGCATTACATCAGCCGGATGACTAGCCAGTTTTCTGTCTTCCATTTCAATCCAACCAATTACTTTCAGGTCACAGCAAATCTGACTGAAAAACAGCCATTACTACTGCTGCTGCCACCAGCAGACAAATACGGAGAAACCACACGAAACTGTTGAATACAACTAGTTTACCGAGTCCCTGAATAGAAGGAAAGCATCTCGAGGGCAGCAATGACTTAACTTAAATAAATTCATTAATGTGTATGAATTGTGGCAAGCTGAAACAATTAGTCAATTGACAAAAATATTAGACGCCAACTATTGGTATATTCGAATATCGGGTCACGTTTCAAGTAAAAACGATGAGGCGTTACTGCTTTTCATCATCTTTAGATCATCGTAAAGTTTAGCATCTTTAAGATTTTGATTGTTGTTGTTGGTGTGGGCATTTATGACATTATAAAAACAAAACAATTAATCTATAATGAAAATAATCATTAAGGTGCAGCCCAAAGCATAATTCCAGCAGATAAAGACACACATAACACAGCAGTAAAAAGCATTTACGTTACATTAAATCTGCATTGTATCAGCAATAAGCAAAATCACGTTCGAAAATGATCTACTCAAAATGAGCATTGTATGGGGTAACACACGACCGTGTGTCTGCACCATCATGACAACATGCTGCACGTGTCATGATGGTGGATTAAACAAAGTGACATGTTTAGGGTACAGAGGGTATGGACGCCATAGTGTAGGGTGAGCGAAGGCGGATAAAAACAACCATCATGAGAGCGGTAAAACCTGCCCATCTGTGGTCTCTGATCCTCCCCTCAAGCACTGCCGCCTAATGCCAACACCTGCACACACCAGCAGAGCCAGACGGAGATCTCAGGACCCCCCCCCCCCCCCAGCTGTAGGCAAAACAACCGTAACAGATTTGTTTGTTCCCAGCTCTAGAGGCTTCATTTTAACCAGTGACGTACTGGAATGCAGTCACGAGCATCGTTTATTTTTGTCCTCACTTGTGGTTACACCTCACCTTTCAAAGTTAATGAGCAGAAAGAATGCATCAATAACATGCAGACGGCCGAACAGATGCGACTGTTTCATGTCATTTATTCTGAGGTCTATCATGGCCATGTGATGTTGCCAGTTCTTATACTGCATGTGTCCAACAGAAAGCCTCCTGAAGCCTGCGTCTAAAGAGGTCAACTTAATTACGGCTGCAACCAACAATTGATTTCGTTATCCGTGAATCTGTCGAGTATTTTCTCAAACAATGGTCTACGACGGAAGAAAATGGTAGAAAATGCTCATCACGGTGACGTCTTCAACTCGTCATAAGTGAGGATTAAAGAAACCCTCAAAACATTCACATTTGAGAATACATTCAGAATAATAACTCAAATTGATGAATTCATTTTGAAACTGAATCTCAACACCACAGAGACCTTCTCAAGTAGAGGAATAACTTGCCCGTGCACAAAGTGGTTCTTTCCTCTCGCAACGAAAAGAGATCCGTCTCAGGAATTTCTGTTTGATTCTTCAAAATTACTTTTTCATTTGGCGCCAGCAGCGTAACACACGCACATCAGAACATATGTCATTTGTGAACATATTGTATTCATTTACAAAAAGGGGCAGTGCACAGCGAGTAACATTTTAGCTTCCACCTCAATATAAAGAGTTAGCTAATGAGCTCATTTTCACCTGTAGTCCCTGGGTAAGTTATTACAAATGAGTATAATAATAGCTAATGTTATCAATACAGCACTTCATCAAGCACTACAGTACAACTAAATACAGCACAATGAGACATAAATACATTACGAAATTAGCATATATATATGTATTAAAAAAATGAGGGTACGTAACTGCAGTGCCAGACTCATGATTTTCTTGCAAGTTTGGTTTGCTTTAATCCATCTTTTAAGCTTGTGTTTCAAGTGAATGAGTGCTCTCCAATAGGAAGACTATTCAGTAGTGGTTGGGTTGACAAAGATGACTTTGTTTGCCCAAACTTGGTATGTCTGTATATTGTACTTCACAGTCCTCTCTGGTTGACGCTGTTGCCCTGCCGCATTTGAGAGAGTTCAAGGTTTTACACAGCATTTATCCAGCTAACTTTATGAAGCCTGCGCCGTGAGACAGGCCCCTGGCTCTGCCATTTCTCCATCTTGAACGCTGTATCGAGGCTAGCTCGTCAAACTAGCACTGGTCAGAAACATTAGCCCATTTTCCTTCCCTCAAGGTATCATTAAATGGTTTTAAAGCAACTTGCTGAGACTGTCCAAACCACACCGCTTCTCGTATCCAGGACGTAGTTCTGCAAGAACACGGGTGTAATTGCTGTGTGTGGAGTCCTCACTGTCCACGGGCAATACATAGTTTAAGGATTAAAGTGTCTAGGATTACTCATTAGTCTGCATGCTGTGATTCAGAGCGCAAATAACATTCCTGGTCATGACCAGTAAGACCATATGGTGCAAAGCAGAACACGGAAAAGTGCTGAGACTGTGGAATTAAACCAGGAAGTGCTTAAAGAGGAAGACTTCACTGAAACAGTTTTAGCCCAAACTCTTCAGGAAGGAGATCAAATCATTCAGGCCTGGTGTTTGGGAATTTCAACCGTTTTAATCCAGTCGGTGTCGATGTGACTACGATTATTTGAAATACGTCTGAACTGTATGATTTTTAAACCGGAAAATAAAGTGATGTGCCTGGAGTGAGAGTGAGAGCACTAGATTTGAGTGTACGCCCACGGCTCAAGTGAAGTTTACCTCAAAGAATCACCTCAAACTCTCTCTGCTGTGTTTAAATATAACAGTCTATACTACAAAAAGCTGAATCTTTTCAATATCAGTATCTGTGTGATCCACATCAATACATAAAACACAAACAAAACATAAATCTGTGTAGCCTTTGTAGGGTTCAGTAGTCTTTGAATCCGTTCCCAGCTGGAGACGTTGTTGTGGCTGTGTGGCTTTAGACTATTGTCATAACCGGTTCAGTAACAAGCAAACAACCAGGATGGAAAAACATCTATTGTTGTGACATATGCGTTTGATCAGTGCATTGGTACAAAGGCATCCTGCTTCTTGCAACACCACTGTCATGAAACAATGTTCAAACTCAATGAGCTGTAAAAGATCTTTTTTTATTACAATGACGAAGTGACAAGCTGTTTAGTGATCACATCTACAGTCACACAACAGGTTGAATATTGGGCTTCACTGCAGCTGACTACACAGAGAAATAAGATCAGGATTTATAAATACTTTTTAAAGATTTTAGTGTTTTGTCTTTGGATGGAAAAAGAGAAGCCATGCTCCTACTGTATCATGCTCTCTGACAGCTGAGACAACAGGAAACTACAATAAAATGAACCTCTTAAATAACAGCACATCTGGACATTGATGGGATATAATAACACGAAAATGAAGAAGTCAGATATTATGCACACTGTCTAATAGCAGCAAACTCACCTTCTATGCCACCTTTCAGGAGGCCGATGCGTCCTATGTTTGCCTAGTCAAAATGTAGTTTTATTTTCCACATAAGGCTCCTGTATCACCCCTGTTCTTAAGTGCTTTCTCATATCTATACATTATATCGATGCAAATGCAGGATAGGAAAAACAAAAATCATATTACTTACATGTCCGTGATTGATGAACCCATGTTTACTGGCAATTTGCTGAGCTTCCTCCTGACCTCCAGGTATGTGGACAGCCCATGTGTTGGTGTAGACCTTCTGACCCAGTGCTGGTTCCAGCCCAGAAACCAGCAAGACCAGCAGAGGCCCGAGTAGCAACTCCAGCAGCCGGAGCCTGCGGCCTACAGAGGGACACGGAGGGCCAGAAGCCATGGGTTCTCCTAATGCAGCACAGTCTCTGAGCACGGCGTCTCTCCGACGGGCCGGGGCTGCCGACGGTGCATGCAGGTGCACGGAGGAGAGTCAAAGAAGGGGAGGGGGCAGTCACTGCTCACCTGACAGGAAACAAAGGAAGAGACGACGGTCATTTCTTGCGATTGTAAAACTGAAACCCAAGAGGAGACTGTAAACCCTGGACAGGTCAAGATCCAAGAGGGAAACAATTCACAAGAGACCGAACAAAAAACACTTGGTCCAAATGTAAGGTTTTGTTCTGCTCACTATAGTTGCTTCAATATTTGAATAAACAGTAATAGGGGGAATGAACTGGGAGTGACTGTTTCCAGATTTTAAGATGTATTGAATACTGACTGACATGTCGAAATAAAAGACAAAACACATTAAATAACATCTGAATCCGTTTTGTTCGTGAGGAATAACAGCCACACCGACAGCAGTTTGAACCAGACGTACAGCCCAGCTAAGTACAGGCATCTGATAATCCCACAGGAAGCAGTGAGCGGGGCACCAAGGCCGGGCCTCGTGTTGTGGTCTCTCCCTCTCTCTCACACACACACACAAGCAGAATTTGGCGTGTACGGTCCCGTGGGAGGATCCGATAGATGAAGCTTACGAAAGAAAAATGCTTAGGTGTACTGGGTTTGCCTGCAGAGGTGAGAAGTGTGGCTGGAAAAGCCAGACTACGCCCTGGATGCCGAGGGATCACAGCAGAACCGGTCTCACTGCAAGCTGAAGTGGCCACTCAACAGTGGAGCTTAAATGCCGGAGACAGCCGCTGAATGGCTGCGGCCAACGAGAGAACATAGACACTTAAAGTGTCAGGGGAAAAATGTTTGACTACAGCATTAAATACCTTAATTTGAGCGTGGGTATTTCTTTGCAGCTTGCTGAGTCATGCGTAATCGACAAGCTGTAGGAAAACCCAAACTTCTAAAAACACAATCTTATGAATCAGACAAAAGCAAACCATCATACAAGTTTGGCTCCAGAAGCCAGAGCTCATGGTGTAAAGGTTGAGGTACAATTTTGCCTCCTTACTGTTGTTTCAAGCCAGATGGGTCAGCAGTACCTTCAGTCTGTTGGGACTATTATCCACAGTAATAACTCTTGTAAGCCCCGAGTTGACTGAATACAGCGCTTCTATTCTGCGTCTGCTATTGTTTGCAGTCGCATTTATTCTCCTGATTCCAGTCTATGGGACAGGGTTTCTCATCACCAGGGACGATACATCAACCGGCCACGCGATGAACAAAAAATACTTAGATTTAAATCACTGTGTCATTACGCTACACTCCGAGAGAACAAACAAGCTCCCCAAATGTCCCCTGAACAGTTTGTTGTGAAGCAAGAATAATGAGTTTAGAGGTAGCTGGGACATTCATCATTAAAAATAATTGCTCATTTTGTCGCCGGTTTATATTTTATTAGACTAAATACACTTTAAACCCCAGACATAAATTCACAAACCTTTTCAAAAGAGCATCTGTTCACCGTTTTATTTCCAGCTGTAAAGGACACTTTTGGGTCATACATTCCTCAATCATCACGTAAAACATGAATAAGGGACTTTATTTCATTTAATTACACATTTACAGGTATTTGTACTACATATACAACTTAAGATATACGTTTTGTTTGTTGGAGAAGGGCTACTCTTCCGTTTGCATTTACAATTAAATACCAACTAACAATTTCCCATAGCTTTGATACATCTTTCACGAATTCAAATATACTAAAAAGCAACGTTTCAGTCATAAAGCATTCATGACTCCAAGTTATAAATTACTCTTGCTACACTAAAATAATATCTTTCTGGCTTCTTTTTAAACAAATACAGGTAGTGTAGATCTAATTTGTATTAATGCCATTTATCATTTATTACACCGTTATTACATTGCAGACAGCCCTCACATGTTTCATATAAAGAAGCCCTGTTTGATTAGTGGTAATTGAAATCAATATATAAACCCACTGAACCCTCCGATACATGTAGAGGAACAGATCAAAATGTTTGGTGGCATAAAGTGAAAAAGACAACTCAAAACTGACATGACTTGATGACCGTGTAGTAAGTAACAAGTACATGTCTCCATGATGGACTTTACAGGTCCGCCTGGCTGTGAGTCGGTAAGACAAGCTGCTAATGTTCATTTCATAAATACCTGGATAACAGCGAACAGATACATATATATATATATAAACAAGCAACATGTTAACAAATAAAGCAGAACAAATCAGGTGCCGCAAGTGTCTCTCAAAGTAGAGCTGTTTCTAACGTGCCAACCGTCAGTAAAACCTAAATCCCTCCACCACCTTTTTAATTCTTCCATCCTGTTTAGTTAAGCCTCTTTAAAACACAAACAAATCAGCCGAAATTAAGTAGCAAGGATCCACTCCCAACATTAATTACATGTTTAATTGTTGCATCATCTGTTCAGTTTCTATAAAATTGAGGACAAACTGGCATATTCAAGCCAATAATTGTTTACGTTTCAATCACATTTAAATTAAAATACGTTGGGAAATGATAAAACAAGCAAAATAAAGACAGCGAGAGATAAATCTGGTGGCACAACTCACTCGACGCTGTCCTTGGGCCTTTGATGCAACAGGTGAACAGAGGGTGAAGATTTGATTTGCAGGCGCACGCTGACTTTTAAAGCACAGACGGCTGTGACCTCATCAGGGCGCTCAGCCAATCGGTGTGGTCAGCGTGAGAACCACACGCCGCGGAGCAGCAACTGCCAAACTACTTTACTGTGCGCTGGAGCGTCGCGCTGTGAGTGATCTTCAGTGTTACTACAGTACATGAGACCAGACGGTGATAATATAACAGAAGAAAATACACAAAATTATAATTAGCCAAGTATCATTAAACCCAAACAGGATGATACCAGCCTCATTACCGAACTCAAGTTTACAGCTCATCAGTTTATTATTCACATTTTAATGAGATAAAAATGATGTCTGCATATGACCCTTTACTCATTATCACATTTCTTAGAATCATTGCAGATTCAGTCATTGTGACACACATGAACTCAATATGTCAGTGCAGGAACACAGATGGCCCACATAGATCTAATACAAACAAGCTGTGTGTGTGTGTGTGTGTGTGTGTGTGTGTGTGTGTGTGTGTGTACCTGATGAAGAGACAGTAATAATCATGATTGCATTCGGTTAGTTCAACATGCCATAAACAACACTTAAAATCACATCGCATTTGCAGCTAAATACTGCAAAATACATCGTAACCTCAGTTTGTAAATTGTGATGTACGGAGGTTTTCTGAACAGTAGAACTGGATTTATTGCAGCAACACACCGCGTTACACAGGCAGCAGACTACTGTCTATTATTCAGAAAAACTATCCAGGATACTATGTGGAGGTACTCGTGTTCAATTAGCACTACCCTTAATTACAAAGTCTTTTACAGCTGGGCTAACACTCCACAAAGCCTCTATTTTACAAGACATGGTCTTTAGTGGAGTTAGATGCAGTAATCCATCATTCAGGCCATTATCATCACAAAGAGTGCACTTTAAATGTTTCCATTGTTTGCTGTTCTGGTTTCCAAATTAGGTTTTACATGTTTTCCTTGTTTATTCTCAAATGAGTGCTTACGGTATAAGTGTTATCTGAATTTAAATGAAAAGCATCTTCAAAGCTTGCATCACAGGCTTATAAGATGACTCTCTACAAGTATAAGTTTAGAGTCTTAAATGTTTTAAATCTTCCATTCTCGAACATTCTACGTGTTTACAAGACAGGAGCTTGTTTCACAAAGAGACTCTAGATATGGATTCTGTCTTTGCTACGAGTATTTTAGATGTTCAACTCAAGTGATGAATACCATGTGGAGATTCATATTCTACGGTTTTCAAAAAGATAGTTATCAGAGATTTAGGCAAACAGGAAGACAGACATTTTTTCCTCTTTGTACTTGTTGGATGGAGCCTCTGGCCGACAGACAGCTTTCACTACAAGCTGAATATAAAGCGAGAGTTGTGATATTTAAACATTTCTACTTCGGCATTTGAATTAGATTCAATGTGTTGTTAATTCAAATATTAACAAAAACAACAGCGCTGTGAGAGCTGTGGGACCGCTGTTGGAAGTCTGGAGGTGCTCACAGTAAAAAAAAGGGGGAAAACAGGAAACAAAATGATGAAAGTGAACATCTCTGGAGAGGAAGAACTGTAGAACTCCATATCCTGACACGATGAGTATGAAAGCCTTTATTCAGGATGTAAAGAAGCAGAAAACACCTTTGAGTTTCATATAACACCTCATTCACCCTGCTGAATGAAGGCTTTTAATAACAGTGTATTTTTACCTCTCCGATGGTGTAGGATTTCACCGTTTTGCTCTTTATTTAATAAACATGTACACCTGGAAACTAGTTTCAGTGTTTTAAAAGGTGTGTCACCATGACCAAACATTACATCATCACAGGGTATTTGTTCAAAGTATTTAATTCGCAATCATCTTTGCGAGGTAAGACTTATTTCTTATAATGGGAACTGTCATTGTAAAACCCATTGCGGGTTTAATGGGTTCACTCTCAGCTAGCCTAATTAAAGTGCTTGCAAACAACAAAAAGAAAACTCTGTGGTCTGATAGTCATTTTCATTTTTCCTACATTTGTTTTGACCCGATCTGTCTTGTTCTTCAGACTTCCTGCAGTGACGGTCAGCATTAACACATATTTTCTATTACACTGAAATAGAGTTTTACCTTTTTAAGTTCAGTTTTCCTGAGATAAGACAGCACGTGCATTTCTATAGATGCCAAGGCCGTGCTCACAACAACTGAAACATATTACCACACCATACAAGCAAGCGGCCTGATACTCTCCATCACAACATGGTGCTTTGAGTATTTCAGATGCCTTCTTTGCATTTGGCACATCTAACTGCATGCAAAGGGGCTACACAACCTGGTTTCAGTGTGCATCCATAATGATCAACAGCTCCGTGTTGCATCACTGGAGAGGTACAATTACAGTGTTGGGCGTAGGAAGCACAGACAACACAAGGAGGGCAGTGACACTAAAGAGCTGGAGCTCAGTTGCACTTGTGAAACGATGCTTTTCACAGAAAGTCAGTATTCACATCAATCCAGTTCCATCAGATGGAGAGGACAAACACAACGGTCCGACCCAACAACATCAGCTGGGTTTCTGCACCGATTGCTCCTGGTGTCAAAGTTCAGTCCCGAGGGAATCCAAGTGCTCGTATAATAATAATAATAATAATAATAATAATAATAATAATAATAAAAGTATGCTACTGCATGTGTAAACAACGAGGAGGCGACATTAAACCGCAGTTAACAGGAAAACTTCTCTCGTTCCGGCCTGTTAGTAACGCTAAACACTTTAATGACTGTGAGCTAAAGTTAAGAGGTTTAAATACATCCGCCGATAGGAGCGAGTTAGCGGTCGGTTGACTCACCTCACACGTTAAAGTCCGTGACAACAACACTGGGTCATAATGTGGTGGCTGGAGCTGATCCGATGAAGAAGAAGAAGAAGAAGAAGAAGAAGACTCCTCGGCTTGACAAATGTGTCTGAAAGTGTCGTGGTTAACGAAAACTTGACACCGCTAGTAGGCTGACCTGCTCCGTCTCGCAGGTGCCTCCCCCTTTCCCTCCCCTCTCATCCACCCCTGGCGAACATTTCCGAACTCACATTTTACTACTCACTCACTCCGGCCGAGCAGTGTGGAGCACCAACGGCACAATCTGTTTCTCTCGCTCTCTCTCGCAGGAACAACCATAGAAACCGTACGCGGCGCAGTAGACGTCACCTCGGCGTGAGTGAGTGAGTGTGATATCCCCGGTTCTTTCACGTACAAACTGACAGCCACCGAGATCGGTAAGACAACAGGGCGGTCCTGTCCCGTCCGGTGTCAGGGTCCCGGTGGTACCAGAGGCAAACTCGCCGACCACGCAGCCCAAACTACAAAAATACAAGCTCGTGCAGACGGGGAAACTTACAATCCGCTCAACTTACCAGCTTCCGTTTACATCCTGCTCGACCCGGCTTGTTGTTGTCTCTGACCGCGATGTTAGGACCGACGACGGCACGGCGAAGCGGCTGAAAAATTGATAAGAGTGAATTGCTGGTTATAAATGGTCATGATACCCCTCTGGTGTACCGTTGAGTGGTCCGTACAAGCCCCAGGAAATACGTCACGGCCGTGGACAAAGTGGAGACGAAGCAACACCTACTTACTGGCCAGCAGCGCTGCGACACCGCCACCTGCTGGTCACAAGCGGCATATCACCCTAATCCTTGTAGGGAGGCTGCCAACTGCCAAATAAAATTTATTTATTTATTCCCAGATTGACGGGTTGTTTTTGTAGTAAAATCGCTTGATGGATGACAAATAAGATGCCGGAAAATGCCATATTCATTGACAAAACTGAAGCTGTTAATTTATTGTGTGTAGCCTACTAACATCTTTCTTTCGGCCAGATCACAACCTAAAATAGCCTTGAGGCATCTATTGACCTCCAGACATTCCTCTCTGCCACTGTGCAGTGTGTATGTACCCTGGCACCTCCAAGTTTTCACCAAGCACAATGTAGACTATACATGGAAGCTTCATTATGTATTTCCCCAGCCCAACCAATGGCCTATACTTCTACGCTGGAATAAAACTGGTCTCAGGTGTATCAGACACTTTATGATAATTTTATTAAAGTTAACTTTATTCAGAAATAAGCACCATATGAGCTGCCCCGGGGGCCAACCATGAACCGCCACGTCATGGTTCAAGTGTGGCCTGGGGACTCATGCCATTTTTTTCTGATCTCTCTCTCTCTCTCTCTCTCTCTCTTTAATTTTAAAAGAAATATGCACCATGTGAGCACAATTACTGCCATAATTAATTATTATCAGAACTACACAAGACAAGTCCACAGAATTAGATACCTCCTTGATTGATATTGCTCTTTAGTGAGGCTGATTCTTTAACAGATGTACAATAACTTAGCATTACCAGAAAAACAATTGACAGGCTTGGGGCCAAGGGGGTGTAATGCCCAGGGGATAGTTGCTCCCTTTACCTGCTTGGTAATCATCCTGCTGAGAATACCTGTGGTAGATCCCATTTAAGGACCTTTCAAAATCAGTTTCATTCACCAAGCTTTTAAATTGTTGTTTTTTTAAACCGTAAAACATACAAAAGCACTTGAACATCACAGTTTCCTTGTTGCTTTGAAGACGGGTTGCATATTATTTGTTGTTTTGCTCCTTAAAGTCTCAAACCTGAAGGCTTAAAAGTTTCACTATGTAGTTGTACCAGTTCAGTAATACTATTGCACAGACTGACTGTAATTATTGCATTTTCTTCACTCATCTGGAATGCAGTACCACACTCAAGAAATGGAAAATACCTGCATGCATAAGCGTCAGGAGGGATTAGTGTATCCTCAGACAGATACAGCAGGCTTGTCAATAAATCATTCTGGTATTAAATCGTACCCCTCACTATTACGTCTTTCATGTCAACACATTTTTAATAATCATAGGTATGCTCTCACATATGCCACACAATACATAAACTCTTATAGAAGTTTAAAAGGTTTATAATTGAGGAAACATACAGGAAGTGTAAAAGATGCAGTCAGAGAGGACACGTTTTGTACTTGAAATCCACAGCATTTCTGTAATGAAATTAACAAACTTGGTCCTATAAAGAAGAAGGTACCCATGGAGGTCACAGGTCCTGATGGTTGGCAGGTTATGTTACAAATGTTACAAGTAAAAGAAGGAAGACTTCACAAGGTATTTTATAGACCCCAGTGTCTGTTTAAGGGTAATGTTTTAAGATAAATCAATGAAATATCATCTCAAGTGAGTTTTTATCACATATCTCGTGGAGTTTGGAAAGCCCTTTGTCAAATAAAAATGAATCATTGCATTATTTTCATCTGATTGCTCTAAAAAAAGGATATAATACAGTTCAAGTACATACACTTATTAACATATTGTCAAGCTGACATAATAGTGAAACATGTGCAGCAGAGCAAAATCCAGAGCAATGTCAATTAAAGGACCAACGCACAAAGGGAACAGAACAGTTCAAAATATTTATTTGAAGTACAAATATGATGATACCAAGGGAGGTCAAGGGTTAATTATATTCGTTCCAGCATGTTAAATGAGTTGCCACAACAAGAGGCACAGAGCCAGTGAGGATATAGTAAAGCTGCCTGCTGCTGGAGCCGAGTTTCTCCCTGTGGAAGCAGACAAACAGAGCATTTATCATCACCTTATAAACACAACATAAAAATCAAATTGATGAGTGGAAACAAGACTATTACCATAATAAAAGTATATGCACTCATAAAACACACTATGATAAATAAAATACATATAACAGCCTCATTATGAGGAGGTTATTAAAAGGACATTTTATCACCATCAATGTTTTTTCAAGACCCACCTCTCAGCTCCAGCAGGACGTCTCCTTCGTATCGAGCGAGTCCGACAGCGTGCCTTTGCTCCGTGTCCAGCTGAGCCCACTGCTCCTCAGTCACAGCCCACGCCTGCTCCGCACTCAGCCACGACATCTGCACTGCGCTGAACACCACCTGACAGACGCACAGCAAACGCACATACTAACTTACTCATACAGGACACTTTGTCATTTGAGAGGAGGCACTCTGCTTGTATTTTATCACACTTTTTGGCATATTTTTGGACACTCTAAAAACATGTCTAAATATTAAACACACACCACAGTATTTAGGATACACTGTCTATATCAAATGTATATAGAAACAAATGAACAAACACTGCATCAACAGTTATAATTGTGAGAAAATAAATGAAATAAAAAATATTATTTACATTATTTTCAGATAATCACAAAGCAGCAGATTATATGGAAAAAATATATACAGTATAAAATATCTGCTCATAGTTGTTAAAAGGTATTTTTCACAGCCAACATTTTGACATTTAACAGTAGAAAGGGTATTACTAGTAACATTAATGATGGCCCAGTTAGTCATGACAGAGTGACAGTGAGCCAGCATGTACAACAACAGGACCCTGAAACTAGGCCGCGAAATGGAATTCAGCTTTAATTCATTTTCTATTGATTCCTATCTTTTACAGTTTATGAGACTTTAGGAAAAGTTAAATGTTATATCTTAAAATCGAACAATTCAGCCAAATGTTCCCATGGTGCTACTCATAGATGACTCTGTACTGAAGCCAAACATTGTTCTGTAGGTTAACCTGAATGAATGGCCAACAAGTCATAGTTGAAACTCACTGCCATCTTTTTTGGTGACATCAGGGCGATGGCTTCAGGGGTGATTCCCTCCACTTGTTCTTGTACCAGAGCTGACAGCACCAGGTCCGCCAAGCCCACTGGACAGAGACACAAACACTGTCTAGTCAGATAATTAATGATCCTCATATCAAATCACAGGAAGTGTAAAAGTCTTCCTAAACTTTTAAACCCTCGGGATATTTTCAATTGCACCTATCCATCCAATAGCTGTCATTCTCTCCTCGCACCCTCCTCACTCTTTGATGAAGAAAACTATTACAAAAATGCTGACCATAAAAAACCTTACACCCTCCAGGGATGTCATATTCTACTGTACCTGCCAGTGTCCCAATTTCGGTGAAAACGTCCGGTCCCCAAGCACTGACTGGACCAAAGGCCTCAGATCTGGACAAACGGCTTGTCAACTCCTCCATCTGCTGCTCTGTGCATGGCAGGGAGGTCTCCCGCAGGAACAGGACGGCCACACTGCAGTGTGAGGAAAATGATTTAGGACTTTATCCTCTTGTGGGGGTAAGTAAAATGTTTTATGAGGGTTGTGCTGCTAATAAATGTGCACCAGCCTCCTGCTATACTTCTGTTAGGAGGTGAATGTGGTGGATGTGAAATCAGTTAAACACTCTCTGAAACCTAAAGCTTTAGAAGGATTGAATATGTTTTACCACTGCTACTAAGTACTACAGGTTCAAAATGTGTTCATCTTTGTTTACGCTTGTCTTTGGTTTGATGCAATTTACCTGTATTTTATATATGTCACAATGAATTTGATGAGGCATTGCTGAGTGTGAGCCTTCTTTTAACAACTGTTGTTGACTGTTGTGTGCGAGAGACAGTTTATACTTCATGTATTTGACTGACCTGAGGTTGTAGGGGCTCAGTCTTTTGATTTCTGATGGATAGAGACCACACATCAGATGGCCAAATGTTGCCAGATCAACAGCTGTTAACTGCTCCACTTTCAGTTTGCGTTTCCGCATCATACCTAAAATCACCGCTCTCATCTGCAAAAAAAAACAAAACAATAGAAATTGGAAAAATTAAAAACACACGAATGGACATGTTTTTACTTGATGTTTTACATCAGAAGGAAAAATTCCAAACCTTTTTAGGGCTCCAGTCTGTAAGTGTCCCCAGATGTGCCAACACACCCAGGTCAGTGAGACTGGCGTCCTGCAGGTCTCTTTCTCCCATCTCAGTCACCACAGGGCCCAGAGCCAGCACCTGATCCGCTCTCAGCTCTCTCACCGGACTGAAGGACTGGATTGAGTGAAGAACCAGAACATGTTTTAACCATAGATTATGTCGATGTTAAAACACTACATGTTTTACTCAGCTGTCCTTGTCTCTTAGGGTTGGAGATTATCAGCCATTTCTCTGACATCACAAGTCAAAATGTATAAGGATGATGCAATTTTATCAAGAATTGTGTTGTAATGTTTAGATACGTCTGATGGGAACAAGATCTTAACTGAGAGGGGGAAAGAACTGCTGCACCACTTTGAGGAAACACGCTGATCTGATTTGATACATTCTTGGCTTCCTGAGGTCTTTCACAGTTGTACTGACCTTCCTGAGTTTCAGCCACAGTGCTCGGCGCTGCTCAGAGCTCATTGAAGGGTCCTGAGCGAAAACTTCTATGCACTGTTTCACATCCTCCTGTGA